TGATTTGTGCTTACTTAACAAAGCAGCGCCACCGCATAATGTTGCCGTGTTTATAGAGCGAGAGATTCAATGGAATGGGATTGATTATTACTTGGATGGCAAACAAGGACAACAAGGAGTTTGGGAGGGCTGCACCAATTTGAAACAGACAACGAAGCCCGGGTCCCCCCCAATCCCCTGCCCCTCCACTAAAAATAACATTACGTCCACCAATTTTTTTTTTTTTTAATTTAATGTAATTATTTTTTATTTTTCTTATTGTTTGAAGCTGTCAGCAAAGCAGTTATGTACTTTGGAGTCCAGCTGTGTTATCAGTGACATTAATATCGCAGCAGATGACAAAAAGCATACTGACTTTGTGAGTCATTTTCGAGAACCCGGCAACCATGCGTGAGCATAGCTTTCATTAATTCTGCTGAATTGATTTATGCTAATCAATAGCTCCGTGGTAAACCATGTGGCTGGTATGTCTGAATTTGCTTTTGTAGTTTGTTTTTTTTTCTTTTTGTTTAGAATCTGCACTATGCAAATAAAAAAAAAAGGAGAAAGAAAAGGGAGGGAAGCCTTTGAAGTTTCACGTCTGAGTGCAACAAGTGCAGCACGATCACAAGGCATTCCAATGTCTGTCTCGTGACACTGAATACTTGGGGGCAAGTTTAGTGATTGTGTTTAAATTAGAAGAAAAAAACTCACCTTCGAGACTTTATACATAAATCAGTAAAGTCCCGAGCCTCTAAACACTAATCATTCCCAGGTCTCTCCTCTGCTCTTAGCGCACAGACAAAGGCTTTTGTAATCTCAGCCTTAGATGTGTGTGTGTGTGTGTCCTGTGTTTGCACATGTGCGCACGTGTGTGCGTCCTCGGCACTCCTAACGGGCACCAGATTCCAGATAGGGCTGCTCGTTAAGAGAAATCTATGCGGATGCATCCAGTCATTTAGCCAGAGGAGAAACACTGGCCATATGTTTGAGGGGGGACTCAAACTGTGAGGGTTTAAGGTTAAATGGCCTTTGTAGTTATAATGACATGGTAAACACAAGAGCAACCGAGACAGCTTTTTGAAAAGGATTCTTCAGCTGTGCGCGGCACATATACGTGTGCGCGCACACACCCTCTTGCAGATGCAAACACTGAGAGTGCTTTCAAGCACTGACATAGATGCCCCACCAACATCCGTGCATGCACATCCATACACATGGTTGTAAAGGAGGAGACACGCACACACACAAACACACATGCACACACACACACTTTCATCTGCATTCTCCATCTGGGCTTAATTCAAAGAAAAGGATTTTGGCAGGATAAAGTATCTCTCTAATGATCTTCTCCAGTTCCACTGCCTGTGAATGCTTAAGGCACTTGTTCATACAGAGGAGGTGAAACCACACTTACAAATTACTACACTACAAGATACCACAGACTGACATACCTCCACTCTAGTGTTCAGTGCACACCATCTCAATCTGTTATTTCAGCCTATTTAGGATACCTACATGGAATGATCTGGATGCTCGATGTGTCATTTGAGATGATAATTGTTGAAGAGGGCATTTGAAGCTTAATCACGCTGCTTCGGTTTCTTTCAGAATCAACTGGAAAGGAAAAAAGGAGAGAGAAAAAAAGAGGTATGACAAAATCCGGCATACGTTTCTGTTATTATGGTCATTCATTTGACTGTTATCTGCTGCACGTTTCTACAAATGCACTTGAGAAGTCATCCAAAAACCGCCTTAACTCAAAGTGGGCGACAAGCTTTCAGTATCTATGTAAATGTAATACTTGCCTCCGTAGCTTTTTTAATATCAGCAGTTACAATCTGCACAGTTGCTGCAGGGGCAAATTAGTGATTTGTGGTGATTTATAATTAAAACTAACTTGAGTGCTAACCGTTTATTCCATCTTTCTCCACAGTGAAAAAAAGGCCTGTGCCAGGACCACCTGGCCCTCCTGGTCCCCCAGGTCCACAGGGGCCACCGGGTATCCCTGGAATCCCAGGTATTCCAGGAAGCAATGTTGTGGGACCTGCAGGGCCTCCAGGACCTCCTGGGCCACAAGGACCACCAGGCGCTCAAGGTCCAGCAGGTATATAACTTGCATCGAATCCTCCTCAATAAGCAATACTCGAGCCAGAGAGCTTGAAAACGAGCAGAGAGATCCTTTTCTTAGATTACAGTTATTTCCTGTATCCAGACACTTTCCCACAGCAGAATGGGGCTCAAGTTGTCAAAATTGATTCACTCATTGCTCGCACTGTGAGAGTTTCTGGTGCAGGATGTCAAACATTGTGTGGAGCAGAAATGATCTATCTTTAAACTATGCCAGAGTTTGTTTTCTTTTAATCATCCTCTCACCTCGGCAGTGCAGAGGCCAGAATTTGAACACGTCTCCCTCTTGCTCTTGCAGGGGTTCCTGACAAGGGCAAAACAAAGGAATTCCAGGTAAGAGTATGTCACCGTTTTAAAATTTTGCATACAATTTTCTCCCAGTCGCAGCTTCTGGTGAAACAGCTGTTCTCCTGTTTTACGTGAATTTGGATTAGTCACCAGAGATCTTTTGTCTTCCAGCCAGCAGTGGTTCACTTGCAGGGGCAGGAAACTACGATCCAAGTCAGAGAAGGTGGGTGCTCAGTCTACGCTCATTTAGTCACAAAGAACAAAAAAGCATGCATAATCCCTGCCATTGGTTAAACACAGAGTTCTGGATGTGTGCTAATAGACGTGCCTGCTAAACCTCAGAATTACAAGAGAAAAAATATAAACACAGTAGATTGTTGACATGCAGTGAATGTTTATACTTGAGATCCAGCATGCCAGATTTGGTCATTTTTAAGTATTTCTGTGCTCACCAAGGATTTTCTGTCCAGGGTAAATGTTACTATCAGTTTTTACCCATAGCACTGTGTAGGATTATAGACATCCTAAAGTTATCCTATAGCCGTTTTACAATCTGGAATGGTAACTCGTACTCATGTTGCATGCTAACTGATTCTGATTATCCTTCATCACATCACAGGTAAGCATCATTAGCAGGTTTATACTGTGTGTCAATGCTGAGCTCTGGTTGCAGTTAAGCTCTGCTGAAAGCTGTTTATGTTGACCCTCTTTGTGTGTTTGTTGTGACATGTTTAGATCTGTCTCAAGGCATCCTTAAGAATTGGAAGATGGTGTCCATCCATCACCGCGTGTTTAAAATGCACTCTCGCACTGGGCAGCTAGAGGTGCTGTTGGACGGTGTCTACTTCATATATAGTCAGGTAGAAGTGAGTACGGTCCTTGACGTAACTCTTTAAATTTACAGTTGATAGTCAAAAGAGCTGGCAGTCGTTCTAAAGCTAAGCTCAAGAATGACAGAGTTGACCTGTCTGCTTTGTTTAAGCATATACATGTTACCTTTTTAATGTAAGATGTATTTCTTTTGCCCTTTCCCTGTGGCTAAATGTGAAGCTTCATAACTCATATTCATGCTGGCTTCTTTAATATTGCAGCTGTTTCAGCTTTAAATAACCCCTGAAATTATCATGTGGAGTCGTACACACTTTAAAGTCTTGTGATTTGTATGCCCCCCCTCCTCCATCCCCTCCCCGCCCCATTTACCAGGTGTACTACCTCAACTTCACTGACATTGCCAGCTATGATGTGATGGTGGACTCCAGCCCATTCCTCCGCTGTACTTGCAGCATTGAGACGGGCCAGCGCAAATTCAACACCTGCTACACGGCTGGTGTGAGCCCACTCCGCGCCGGCCAAAAGATCTATATACGCATAGCTCATGAGTACACACTCATCAATATGACCAACCACACCACTTTCCTGGGAAGTGTCAGACTTGGAGAGGCTCCATCTGCTGGACAGAACGGATAACTGCACAGTCACCAGCACCCACCCCCAACCCCCCCGATGCGTAACCAAAAAGCAGCAGTCACGTTAGCCCAGAATCACACTGCCTGTTCATCCTGCCTGACGTGGGATTGACACAGTAATTTAAAAGCCTATGTTTTGCCTCTGTTTAGAGGGCTGGTAAAAGTTGAGGACGCCCCTTTAGTGACTTTTGTTCACTTTCACAGATGTCTGTATTCAAATGAACCAAATAAGACAACTTCTGCTGCCCTTTACTTTAATTTTGCGCAGAGATCGATGAACCAAATGTTCTCATCAGAGAGAAGTTTCTATTTGTAGTCGCCATTTTGTACCGGCAAAGACGGGATCTCTCTTTAAAGTGAGGAAAGACACTGTGTTGATGTATACTAAGTGCTGTTGAATGATAATCTTGTATCTCCAAAAAACAAAAAACGCTAAAAATAGCTAAAATAGCTACTTGAAATGTTTTGTTCTGGGGCTTTGTTGGCCTTTTTTAATTCATTTGAATATATTAACATTTTTAAGAAAATGAAAGATGATGCAAATGTTCAACACAAGTATAAAAGTATCTATGCAAAGTAAAGAAAATCCACTAAAACTGGAGTTATAAGGTGTTCACAGAGCAACAGCACTATATATTTTGCGCGCATTTGCACTACAACATCCCTGCAGAATATCAGTGATATGTTTTGTTACAGTGCTATTGTTTAGTTACCTTATGAATGAATCCATGTAGAGAAATGATAGTTGTTAATACATGTCTGTACATACTGTATATAAAATGGGATATACTTTTGTAAATGGAGTTGATTGATGGATTAAAATGTTTCATTTTCTGTCTAAACCATTCGTCTCTTGTGTTTGTGCAGCCAGTGGTATTAATTTAAAAGGTTACAACTTCTCTTTCATATCGGACTGAGCTGGCACGAGTACTGACAAGAACAAATGATGCTCTGCGAGCGAGGCCTTTGTCTTTATTAAAATGTGGCTTTTTACTTCAACTGCGAGTTTCACAATACATCTCAGAGTTTGGCTGTAATTTTCATGCAGTCCAAATGAGTTCCATCTTGAGAGGCAGGGCAAAGATAGTTCCTCATTTTAAAAACTAATTTTGAAACTGAACGTTTAGGTTTCCGGAGTGTACCGATGTGTGACTTCACTCGTTTGAGTAACTTGGGGACTGGGGGGGGGACAGCTTGTTAGTCTCAAAATGCTCTATAATGCGTTATTATCACTCACAGCGTTCATGTTTTGTCTCAGTCTTTTCCTGATGCACAGAGCCAGGGTTTTAGAAAATGATTTTCGCAAACTCCAAGGAGACATAATTCTACAATTAAATCAACCATGTTCTGAGGGAGTCGATGGGAAATTGGCCAAGATGCTTAAAACAAGCGAGGTATGTCACTGATTATACAGGATGGAGTCATCTTGGACATTGTACTACTGAGATTTATACCATTAGTGAGTTGTTCAGATAGCGCTGCAATAATAAATTTTATCGCAAGGCTTTGTTTTTCTCATAGGACATTAAGTCAAGAGTCTTCCAGGAAGCTCACAGTTCTCTGAAGATATCTTCTAGGAGAGTCAAAAGGGACCCAGGCAGTTCTAGAGGTGGGTCAGAGCTGAGAACTGAAAATATTTTGTTAGTTCCAGTCTAATCTGGTAATGACAGCACAAACAGTATATGCTAAGTTAATAAAAAAAATGAAAGTCAAGTGTTTATTTCCTTCTCTTGCCAGCTCCAACAGCATTTCTGCAGTTAAGGGCTGACACTAACAAACGGCCAGACATAAGAGGTAAAACTAAATCCAAGTCGTTGGCTGTACCGTCTGCCATTATTTTGATGAAGCGTATCTTGCCTTTTTCTCACAGGAAATATAACTGTGATCTCTTGGATTGTTTCTGCACAGCGAGGAAATGCAATTTCACAAAAGGAAAACAGAATTGTTGTCCAAGAAGACGGTTATTACTTGGTGTTTGGACAAGTATTGTGTCACACTAACTCGAGCAGAACTAAATTGATCATGCATATGATTTGTTCCAACCAGTTAGGTAATGTTCTGCTTAATTTGCAGGTTTTGTTTGAAAGCCCAAGCATAGTTATGGGTCATGTCGTTCGAAGTAGGGCCTCAGCTGAAGCCGAGCTGTTGCGCTGCCTGCAAGCGATGCCCGATAGATATCCTGCCAACACATGCTACACTGCAGGTCAGTGAGAGACTGCTGCTGTGGAGGTTTTTTTGCTTTTGGATACAGGCGCTCTCTGTAATACACAGCGCTGTTCCTTCCTCTACTTATCGAGGTCAAATAGGCATATTTTTGAAAATGTTACACTGTTCCTTGAAAGTGGATCTCTCGTGCTGATTTCTAGTTCCACATTTTTATTCTTAGACACTATACTAAAGTAGCTTTGCAATCATTTACAGTTCAAAATAATCCCTGTTCATCTTATATCGGGGCCTTTATGCAGCTACACAGTTTATTCCAGGTTTTAAGCCTGTATCGGCCAATAGTGTGAAGCATTTTGAGAGCTGCTATTTTGCACTTTTGGAACCAGACATAACCATAACTGGAGCTTGCTTAGCTTTCTGCAAAGGGTATCTACTTACTGGTGGTAAATAAGAGGCTAATGAATCTCAGGAACTGTAGTAATTCAAACAAGTCAGCAAATTATACTTTTTCATATAATTCAGTTTATAAACGCTCCAAAAGGCCCTAACACCGCAAGTGCAGTCAACTGTAACTTCCTGTGTTGGGACACCTGTCAAGCTGGGCACACCCTGAGTTTTAAATATCACCAGCCTCCATTTAAAAAAGAAAATTCAGCTACCATGCACTAGCTTATCGATAAATTCCCAAATCTTTCTTTTGTGCCAGGCTATAAACATGCTTGTTAATGCTGCACAGGCCTTTTAACTGTAGTACTATACTGTACTATAGAGTATTTGACCTGGTTTTGGTGCCAGCCTCAAGCATCCATTAGACAAACTGCAGTTTTTGGTATTTCTGCACTGGCTCCATTTTTCTGCCCTGGGCAGTGCCCCTCATCTGAAACAAACCCATCAAGCCAACTTCCTAGTGGGGGGGCCACCCCTCATAAAAACCATGAGATGGCCATAATATCCAGGATATCCGACAACATACAAGTCCATTAGCAGAAAAAACAATCCAAAAGTAGCACCAATAGTAAAAAGGCTTTTGTGTATAGCAAACATGTACTGTACGTTTAAATACATTTACACTTTCTGACAGCGTTTGTCCTCTGTTGCAGGCACAGTGCAGTTGCTTCAGGATGACGAGCTAGAACTGGTGATCCCAGACAGGCCCACAGCCCTGATATCTACAGATGAAGACTCAACCTTCTTTGGTGTCATACAGCTGAACTGAGACAAGACAGTAGGAGGATGATAAGGATGCAGCTGACTGTTGCTGGAAGTGGGAAACTGACACTGAGCAGCGTGAGGGCTGTGCAGATATAAAGCAGAGTGGCAGCAGCAGGAAAACTATTTTTCCTGCCAGGCAAATACATTTTTTTCAAATATATATTAGCTTTAAAATGTAGAATTTGGGTGCATGTCCTGGGCTGACTCCCAAACGTTTGTACTCATGTGCCAGCACCTCCTTTCATCAGTCTATTTTAGGCGTGTTCCTTTATACCTTGCTGGGGGCTTCCCTCCTGTTCCACCTACGCGCTGTCTGCTTATTTGTTCCTCTTGTCTATTTTAAAACGCTTTCCGTTTCCAGAGACTTTGTCAGGAACAAACAAATGTATAAATTTATCTCCCAGGAAGGTTCTTGAACACCACAATAAATAATGTATCATCATCTAATTAAAGTTGTTATAAATGGGATAATGTGTCGGTGCAAATTATTTCTCAACTTGTATTTAAAGTGCTAGCAAATTCTAAATGCATTTATCTCTAAAAGTGGCTTCACTTAGCACTAAAAACACAATATGTTTGTCTACAAACATTTTTTTTTTACAAATTATAAGGTTTTTGCTTACATGTGACCTAAGCTTGACAGAAAGAGTCATGTCTTTATTGTCTAAATATAGTATCCACCTTCCCTATCTGGTGGCCACAGCTGTTTTCTCTCTCCCTTTTTTTTTTGATGAAGCATGGCTATAAGAGGGTGTTGGTGTGTGTGTGTGTGTGAGTGCATACGAGCTCTGACAACAGCAGTGGTACAGTTTAGCAGCAGCAGCAGAGGGAGAATGGTCAGACATATGTTCTCCAACTTCCTACTACTCTGGTCACTCAGCCATGACCTTTGCGTAACAGGACTGACGTATTATGCTTCGAGGGTAGGTTCAACATGATCAATATAAATGCTAAATGTTTTTAAATTTGCACTATTTATTTATTTCTTAAGCCTACAGAATTGCTGGTTTTGATATTTTTTAAAAGTGCCCCATCTCTGAGGCTCACACTGTGTTCCTTTAATTTCAAGGAGCAGTCCTGGAACAATCGGAATCTCTCTTCTATCCCTGTGGATTTGGATATAAGGATCAGAAGACTGGACCTGTCCAATAACTTCATCAGACAGCTGCACAAGCTTGAGCTGCCTTACTTGGAGCAGCTGGACTTGAGCAACAACCAGCTGGATCTCATCTCCGAGGGGCTGTTTGAAAACCTGGTTCGACTTGAGCAGCTGAATTTGTCCAGAAACGAACTAAACAACAACCTTGGCAATAACAGCAAAGCCCTCCAATCCCTCAGCGGGCTGAAGGATTTGGACATATCAATGAACGGCCTGAGTGACTTTGCAGCCGAGCACTACCTTAGAAACAAATCCGCCCTCGATCAGCTCAAGATGACCGGTAATGCTTTAACAAGACTTTCACACAAATTATTCACAGAGAGTAAAAGCCTGAGGGCCATTGCTATTGACGACAATCTGATATCTGAGATCGAAGAAGGGACGTTCGAATCACTGATCCAATTAGAGGTGTTAAACTTGGCTAAAAACAATCTTGCGCACATTTGTGATTTTAAATTGCGTCAAGTGAAATTTCTAAATCTGAGCAGAAACTCTGTAGAGTTTTTTGTCACACATGAGGACAGCAGGCTGTACAGGCTTGAAGTTCTTGATCTCAGCCACAACAAACTTCTTTATTTTCCAATCGTTCCGAAAACGAACCGTTTGCGGTATCTTTATTTACAGAATAACATGATCGGTTCCTATTCAGAGGCTGCTTTGGTGTCAGAGACAAATTCTCTTTATAGTGAGATTGTAGGTGAAAAAATTGCAATAAAAAACAACCTACACTCAAACTGGAGGCCCATGCCACTGATTTATATTGACCTGAGCTACAACCACTTCAGGTCTTTCCCAATCGAGACTTTAAGCCTATTGCTGTCTTTAGAAACTCTGAATCTCAGCTATAACTGTCTACAAAGCATCATCTGGGATGTGAGAAATGACTCTGACTCAGGACCCCTTCGCCAGCTTTTCTTCCGCTCCCTAAAGCACCTTGACCTGCAAAGCAACAGGCTGGTATATATTTCCCCACCTTTTCTCAGTGCACTCACACAAATAGAAAGACTAAATCTGCAAGACAACTCAGTCCAACCTTGCACTTCTGCTGATCACTTAGGAAGCATTAACTCAACACAGCAAACAAATCTTGATGACCTTTGTGTTGAATTCGCCTACTTAGGGACTCTAAAACACCTCAATCTTAAAGGAAACGGCATAAAAATGCTTCAGCCTAACACATTTCAGGGGACTTCTTTGGTTTCCCTCAGCCTTGCAAAAAATCCATTACTGGTCATGCAAGAGGGGGCGCTAGAAGGTGTGCAAACAACTCTTCAGTCCTTAATTATCAGTGAGATCAACTTAAACAGCTCTCGTCTGTTGTCTCTACCGTGCATGCCGGCATTAACCCACCTGAACGTATCGAACAACCTGCTGGATACAATTCCCAGAAGTTTAAGTTGTTCTCCCCTGAGAGAAATTGACATAAGACATAATGTTTTTATAACTTTAAACCCTTCGTTGATTCGTGCTTTATCCACAAACCTTACCGTCATGCATATAAGCGGGAATCCTTTCAACTGCTGTGACAACAGATGGTTGATGGTCTTAAATGAGACGGAGATTACAGTGCCCGATATCAGTGAGGCAGAATGCTTTACGAGAGTTAGAAACCTTACAGTGACAGAATATCTGATGAACCCTTCATTGTACTGTTCATTGCGCACAAAGGCACAGGAAGTTCATTTTGGACAAATGATGATAATTGTCTTATTTGCAATTGTTTTGTTAGCAGTTTTCATCATGTTCAGCAGGAAGCTGTGCTGCACACAGAGATCTGTTATGGTGTGAAGTCTCAAATCAGTCTTTTACAGGTTTTTTTTTAGATAATTTTAGACATGCACATGGGCTATGTAAAGTAAGCATACCATAAATTTGGTGGAAAAGTGAAGATTTTGGTTATTGCACATTACAGTCTTACAGGACATACCTGCAAACTTTTCGTGACCTCTGCAGCTAAAATCTTAAACTGGAAATTGGCATTACTGATTCCCAAGTGGTTTGGTTACAGTGCACGTCAAATCAAGAATCACAAGAGTTCGTATCCATTCTTCATCGTGAATGTTTGTTTTGAAACTAAAAGCTTTAGCCAATGGATTACATTTTTATGACGTCTATGAAGCCTTGCAGAACATTCCAAGAGTCACGACTGGACTCCTGAATAATTCAACACAATTGCCATATAGACCCTTGTAAGAGAGCTTTTGTTTAAACATATTGATTTGTATATATTTTTAAATAAGAATGGCTTATTTTGTCTTTATACAAGAAATGTCATTATACCAGCCTGTTCTGTAATATATAATGTGTGGCTCTGACCCTGGAGACTGTGGTCAGATGTTGCAACGGTGTATGGTTTACATAATAAACATGTCGCACTGAATAACCACGATATCGTGCAGTTCTTTATTTAAGAATACCATTCCCCGCATTTCAGTATCTACAAAATATAGTTGAAATGCCACCAAGTCATAGAATCCTAACTGTAAGGTCATGATCAGAGAAGTTCATCCATTAAGATTGTGAAACTAAGCAACACAACATTAAACTTTGACTTGCATCCTACAATACTGATCCACTGGCAATGGCATGAAAAGATATTTGAAATTGTAAGCAAGTACCTCTGGATGTACACCAAAAGAAAAAAAAGATATGCCATTGAGCAATCTTTCTTGCTGTCTTCCTATTGGCAAATCCCTCTTCTTGAAACTGATGCAAAGTGCCGTTTTGCAACTGGAACCAGTATATGTGATGTCAGCATTATCACGGGTACAGCAAAACTGCCTATCAATCTAACTCTTGAGCAATATTAACTTTAGTAAAATGTCTGTATTGCCCCACCCACACGTTTCAGCTTCTAGATCAAGTAGCAGCTTGACAAGTTCAAGCAAAGAGCACTTGAAGAAAAGAACACTGTGTGGATAGCATTAGGTGTCAAACCATAGGAATGCAACAAGTAAATTGTATTCATTCTTCTTCTTGGTGTTGATAGTTACTGGCATTTAGACATTAGCAACAGCTTGCATGCAAAGTTGCACGACTTTCTGTTTCTACCTCTACACCAGGGGTGCCAAACACATGGCCCCTGGGCCAGAATCAGACCGCCAAAGACTCCATTCTGTCCAACTAGACAGACTTGGAAAAAAATTGAGAAAAAGGGCATAAATTTGGGACTTTTAACTGTATTTTCTATAAGGTTGACAGCTTTTCCTACTGATAAGGACCTCCTTCGTAACCATTCATAACACACCAAAGTAACTAAATAATAGATAAACTGTTAAATGCAATATCTACAACTGAAACTTCTATCTTTTTAAAGAGGGTCCACAGTTAGAAAGTCATAGTCTGTTACATCCAGTACTTACAATATGGACAGATTTCTTCCATTTAATACAGCAGCATTTCTTTATCGTGTAGAAAAACTGAGACATTCTGCTTAAAATGTACTTCTTTTTTGTTATATGAAGATATCTGAGAAATTCAATGGATGGTTAAACTTCTTATGGATCAAAGTGGGCTCTATGCAGCCCACTATGTCAAATGAGCTTGACATCCTTGCTCTAGACTGTCAAATGCTGTCTGATAAAAAAAAAAAAAGAAGTTCTAAATTCTTTTAATTGTTAATTTAATTGGAAATGAAAATCAAAATCAAACATGCACTATGAAAGATGTCTGAAATCTCTTTTTTTTAATCATTTTAAAAACAGATGTAGACGCAAAGTACTTTAGAGACAGGCACATTTAGCAAAAAAAAAAAAAAAATCAACATTCACATTTCCCTCATTCACAGTAATGCTGTTCCATACTACAAATATTGGTATCAATCCAATACCAAGTAAATGCAGGGCCAGGATTGGTTACTATTTGTTATTCGGGTAGCTAATTGGGGGAGAGTAGTATGCCATGAATTATCGTTTTAATCACTACTATATCACTGATTACTTTCCACAATAATCAGTTAACGCAACAAAACACCACTTTCAGCTTTTCAGGTCTTTTGAAACGGAGTCTTTGGAGACTTGGAATGCAAGTTTTTCTGTCTCTAAACCACACAAAAAGGTTTGGACTTTCTTCATAGTGCATATTTGAGGTTTATTTTTCGATCCATTCCGCCCACCTCTACTGGCGGGGCCTCTTCTCAAGATGGCGGCCTGGCCTTGGTGGAAAAAGGAGTGGGATACATTTTTATGACAACCGGCTTTTTAAAGAAGAAACCGAGGTCAAAAAGTAGACTAAAAGGAATCGTTCCACTATGGTAATTTGCGGAACCCCCAAGAAAATCTATGAAAAGAAAAGGACCGTCAAAGTCAGGAATAATAACGCTAATTGGCTAGCTAACTAGCCGCTAACTAGCCACCAGTCATACTGGCAGGGGTCACGCACGCCATGGCTCCTCACCAGCTGGCTGTCACCCTCCGGTCGGCGCCCTCCATGATCTCCCAGAAAGTGCAGTTAACTTACCAGCTGTTCTTGCTGGAAAATGCCCGGAATAAACTTGAACAAGACCTTCGCAACTTCACCATCAAGGTAAAGCTAGCTGGCAAGCGAGCGACTAATTAATGCATTTACTTACATTAGCTGATATTGCTAAGACCAATGGAAAAAGGTACAGTGTGTTCGTCATTACAAAAACGTGAAATATCAGCTGACTGCCAAAATTGGTTTCCTCTGAACTAATAAACACAATGTATGTGTATTTTTTTTTAAATAAACCACACAAATTTCCCCCTTTTTTACAACCAGGCCTATAAAGATGTCCAAGGTTACCTGAATTCATCTTGTCCCAGGAGCTTGTTCAGCGATCTCTCAAAAGCTTTAGATGTGAAATGTCAAACAGTCGCAAAGCTTTCAGCTTCATTAAAGGACCTCACAGCTGGTAAGTTATAAATTAATCGTATAGCTACAGATGGATAAGTAACTGTATTAATAAACCTCTGCTGCCTGCTTTCCCTGTCAGACCCGCAGGTTTGTCTTCTTCCTAAGGTTAAAAATGGAGTCAGCGGAAATCAGATACAGCAGCTTGGCATCAAAGAGATTCAGATTACAGATGTTTTTAAGTTTGGGCCCATGTTAAAGAACTCGCTGATGGCGAGCTCAATAGCAAAAGCAATCCAGGTACTGGGAGCCACGGTGTCTCTTCAGCAGCTACAACGCTTCCTCACCTCGAAGCCTGCGGCAGGCTATCAGGACAACATGATATGCAGGCGTTCTTCAAGCCTCACCAGCACTGTTTTGACTTCAAGTTGTGATTTTAAGGTTGAAGAAAAGCAGGTTGATTTTGAGGAGAAGAGCCAAGTGGATGCTGGGATTTTTCCACCTGTCACTGATGAGAGCCGTGACAGAAGTGCGGAGAGGCCTCAAATACTTTTACCTCCCTTAAAAGCTGTTTTCCCCGAGCTCAGTAACCCAAAACCCATGAACACCACACCACTATTACACTGGGGATGTGAAGATGATGTCAAGGTGCAACACCAAAAACAAACATCCTCCCAGCTGCTGCACTTCCTCAGAGCAAAAGTTAAAAACATGGGTTCACTGGAGGTCACGGCCATGGAGTGGGCTAAACGTGCATACAGTTCAGATTTACAGCAGCCTGTGTCACCTACCATTACACCACAAAAAGACCAGTTCAGTCACGTTGTCACCGATCTGGTAGAAGTTCTTGCTCCAAAAACTTTGAATGCAAAGTTTGAAACCCGAGCCCCAGTCTTCAGAGTGAAAAAAGCCGAGTCAAGTGGCTCTCTCATCTATAGTTGCGTGATTGCAACACAAACTGAACTCTGGGATATTGGAGACATCTTCGCAGAGGTAGTGGAGAGGGTCTCTGATCCTGGTCCCTTGGGAAGTGAAGACTGCCAAAATATAACTACTCAGCCAGAGATCGTGGGTGTGAATATCCACTGGAAACCCAAAAGTCCCAAGTGCGCAGAGCCTGAACGTGATAACAGTTCTGATGGCGCGAAAATGGCAACAACCAACAGTTTAAAGATTCCCGATTTCCAAATTCGAAGATTTGAAGAGACTGAGGTTGTGGTGTCTCACATTGTGAGTCCGAGCAACTTCTACATCCAGCAGGCAGACTCCCATGAGAAGCTACAGGCCTTTGCCACAGAGTAAGTCATTCATTGCTGAGGCTAAACTTAAGTCTGCTTTTTCTCAGATTTTCCCGCTGATTCACTGATGACATTTTCAGAACTTAAAGAGCCATTTATGCCTTTTATTCATAACCGTTTTCTTTGTAGATTTTTTTTTCTTTTTTAATAACCCACATGTTTCTGGTCATCATCATTATTATTTTCATTTGGCACAGCTGGAAAGCCAGTAGTTCAAATGCTGAGCAGAACTGCATTCCAGATATTGGAACCGTAGTAATGGGTTGGGTCGCCGAGCGAGAACAATGGTGCAGGAGCCAGGTGATAAAGATATGTGGCGTGAGCAGAGGTGGGTTCTGTCCTTGTGTTGAAATGTTTTTGCAGATGTATGCCTCTAGATGGTAGCAGTGTCACTTTGTTTTCCTGGTAGCCACTTGGGAATATCACACTGGATATTTAGTCTTGCTTTGTATGCTCTCTGTCTTTTGGATGTAAGATGGTGCTGGGACAGAGACATCCATCAAGGTGGAAGTGAAAAGGTTGGACTATGGTGACACTGCCTGTCTGTCACTGTCAAATATAAAGGAGCTGACCCCTGAAATGGCTACTATACCACTTCAGGCTGTGCAGGTTTCACTGGCTAATGTAAGTGGATTTACAGTACACCTGCATGGACACTTAAAAATATTCAGAGAGAGTCATACAGACTGTCCCTGCCAGAGTTTGCATACATGGAAATGTTAAAAAGCTGTGCTGTGAGAGTGTGGGCTTAATAATTTGCATTTGTCCACTATTAGTCACAGCGTTATCTGTTACTTGGTGATAAAAGGAAATGAATTATCTCAGTTCATGGTATTTTGTGTGTATTTCCTACCCCTTAGGTGATGCCTGTGAATGGGAGAGATTGGTCTGAGGAGGCAGTCGGCTGGTTCAAAGCGACTGTACACAACAGGACCCTCTATGCTAGGCTGTACCCACAGGAAGGCAAAGTTACAGTCGAGCTGTTCATGGAGAAGGGAAAGCTCGGAGCCATGAGGTATCGAAACATAAAACACAGTCAATTAATTGTGGCGTAAAAAGTTTTAGTGGACAGAATTTTAACAGTAAAAAAATTATTACGTCACCATTAAACAATGTAAATTGTTAAATTAAGAAGTAGCATGGTGACTGTATAGTAATGTGAAAAAGTCTTGAGCCACAACCCATTTCTTTTTCCTTTCCTTTCATGTATTTTGCTAGGAAAACAAGTGCAGCAGTTTGTTGAAACATATGCAAACATACCTGGAAATGCAGGAAATAAGGCAAAAACAGAGTTTGCACAATTCTTACAAATTTCAAAATCAATATTTGGAATGACCACTTATCATTTTGAATGGAGCGTGAACTCTTAGGCAGCTTCCTTGTCACTTCTTTAAATGGTCTTCAGGAATAGTTCTCCGGGCTTCTTGAAGGTCATTCAGCACTCTTCTTGGGAAGTTTGCTGTCCTTTTGTTCTGTCGAGATGATCCCACACTGCTTCAGTAATCTGCTTTGAGGCAGCCAGTTCATTACTGACTGCGGTTTTCTATCCAGGTATCCTTTTACTGTATTAGCCGTGACATTGGGATTATTGTCATGCTGATTGGCCATCTTCAGTTGGATGCCTTGCAGATGGCATTGCATGGTGGTGGATCAAAATCTTAACAGTACTCATCAGTCATGACAAGATCCCCAGTACCTCTGGCTGAAACTCCTTTTTCCGTTTCCTCTGTTAAGCTTTGTTTATTTATTTATTTATTTTTAATATAAGTTGGCTTGGCTTGAAATGGAACCTCAAACCATGACGGCACCAGAAGTTTCATCCTCATAAGACCTTGTTGCCACAGATTTTGCCTGCTACTTCTTTTGTACTCTTCTTGCCCAGTTTGCCCAAAGTCTTTTGAGGACACACTGCACTCCATGCTGAAATATGCTAAGTGTTAAGTTCATAGCTCTTTAGGAATCACCTTGTTGATGCAAAAATATTATTATGCCTGTTAAACTGTTATCTTTGGCATTTTTCATAGATTCAGCAAAAGAAATGGGAAAACATAAACAGGCAACAGGCTGCTCATAATAGGGGATTAAAGATAAAACGTAAAACTGGTCTTTCATACAGAAAGTAGTTTACTTTTTCTTTTTTCTTTTCTTAATGCTCAAATCATTTAAAGGCCACAGTGTTGGGTGGCTTAACAAATGTTCCTCTTAAAATGAGCAAAAAAGCAGCAAGGGTTCAAAGAAACACTTTGTTGTCCAGGCTTTCAGAAAGACTTTTGCACAGCACTGTTTATCTGTTTGTGTCACAAATAGTCAAAATACAATCATCTACTCTACATTCAAAAAGGACCATTAAGTAATGAACACACTTAACACATCATTTCAGGAGGGGTGCTTCATTGTCTTTGAGACTGGCCCAGAATGGACACGCCATCCACAGCAAACTTAAGAAGACCAGTCTCATCAAAAGAAGTAAGTTACATTATATTTTAAAAATGCATTTTCTCTAAGAGTCCACACTACACTAATATACTTCAATGCGATGTGTTTATTCCTCGTTGTCACCGCTCTGTGTTGATATTCACAGTTTTCCGTTTTGTTTTGTAGACAGTGTTCAGCTTAAAGCCCAGAAACAGGACTCTGACTGGGAGAAGTATCTCATATCATGCTACACTCAAAGGAAGTAGTTCAGG